GCTACAGAGGATGAAAGAATATAGCCTTCAACCTGAATTATATCTCAACATCAAGAAAACAAGGTCCTTACCACTGAACCAGTAGAAGGCATCATTATAGATGAACAAAGGATTTAAACTGCTTGGATTTGTATCAACACCCTTGGTACTAGCAGTCAAGATATCAGGAGACGTATTGCTATGGACAAATCTGTTGTCAGGAACGTCTCCATAATACTCAAGAGAAATGATGTAAATTTGAAGATCAAGGTATACCTGATTAAGACCATGGTCTTTTTAGTTCTTTGTTTATGCATCTGAAAACTGGACAACGAATAAGGATGACAAAAGGAGAACTGATGCCTTTGAGCTGTGGTGTTGGAGAAAAATTCTGAATATCCATCCCATGGACTACTAAATGAACATGTCTTGGAAAGGGTGCAACCAAAGTGCTCCTTGGAGGCAAGGGTGGTGAAGCCACATCTCTTATATTTTGGACATGCTACTAGTAGAAGCTATTCCTTGGAAAAGGACATCATGTTTGTAAAGGTGGAAGGTCAACAAAAAAAGAGGAAGACATCCAGTGAGGTGGACTGACACAGTGACTACAGTAATGGGTTCAAGTATACCAGAGAGGACGAAGATGGCACAGGATAGGACAGGATTCAAGTTCGTTGTTCACAGGGTCGTTATGAGTCATACTCGATTTGATGGCACCTACCAACAACAACATGAAAGACCAGTAATTCAAATTCACCAACTACTTCATGGGGAAAAGATGAGCAGTCTCTTTACATAAAATTTACAATCTCAGAAACCCAATGCAAGGATGCTATGAGAACTGACTTGACTGGCAGTGGGTTTAAAATTTTAAAGCACATTACAGAAATTTCCAGTTTCATGATGAGGAGTCAAATCAAACAGTGCGAATGTTGTTATCATCGTTATGTCCGTCAAGTTGCTTGCAACTCATAGTGACCATATGGACAATAGCTCTGAACCTTGCTCTAACCTAAGCCAATCTCATAATCTCTGACACACTAACTCCCATTACCCCAGTCACTGAGTTAATAATCCATCTCGTCGAGGGTCTTCCTCTTCTGCACTGTCCTTTCACCCTTCCAAGCATGATGTCCCTCTCCAAGGACTGGTCCCTCCTTTCAACATGCCCAGAGTATGTCAGATGAAGCTTCAAAATCCTTGCCTCCAAGGAGCACCCTAGTTTCATCCTCTCAAGGATGAACCCGTTTGTTCTTCTAGTTTGTTGTTGTTAGGTGCATTGAGTTAAGTGCGACTCACAGCGGCCCTATGAACAAAAGATCTGAACCCTGTTCTATTCTGCACCATCCTCACACTTCCTGACACACAGGAGCTCATTGCAGCAGTCACCATATCCATCCACCCGCTTGAGGGTCTTCCTCTCCTTCTGTACCTCTCCACCTTTCCCAGAATGATGTCCTTCTCCAATAGCAACATGATTAAAGTATGTAAAGCAAAGCCTCATCATTCCTGCCTCCAAAAGCTCTCTGGCTGCACCTTCTCCAAGACATACCTGTTTGTTGTCTTGGCCATCCATGAGATGTTCAGCCATGGTATATTCAATATTCTCCAGCACTACAATTCAAAGGCATCAATTCTTCTCCTATCATCCTTTGTCATTGTCCAGCGCTCTGATGCAAAGCAAGTAATGGCAAAGACCATGGCCTCAGTCAGGCACACCTTAGTCCCTAGACTGACACTGTTGCTCTTCAGTACTCTGGAGAGGTCCCTGACAGCAGATTTTCCAAATGCAATACATCTTTTGATTTCCTGGCTGCTAGTACCAAGAGTATTGGTTGTGGAACCAAGCAAGCTGAAACTGTTAACAATCTCAATTTCTTCACCATCTGTCATGATGCTGTCCAGTGATGGGAATCTTTGTTCTCCTTGATGTTGAGCTTAATTCATATTGAAGGCTTCAGTCCTTGATTTTCTGAAGGAAAAGCCTCAGATCCTCCTCATTTTCAGCAAGCAAGGGTGTGTCATCTGCATAACGCAGATTGTTGAATCTTCCTCCAATCCTGATGCCACATTCCTCCTCACAGAGCCCAGCCTCCTATATGATCTGTTTTGGATATAGATTGAAAAAGTATGGAGACAGGATGCATCCCTGGCATAGACCTTCGCTGATCTTGAACCATGCATGTTTCTTTGCTCTGTTCTAATGACTGCCTCCTGGTCCAAATGTAAGTTTCACATAAGCACAATCCAGTGTTCTGGGATTCCCATTCTTCTCAGAGTTAACCACAATTTGTTGTGATCTACGTAGTCAAATGCTTTTACATAATCAATGAAACACAGATAGGCATTCCTCCGATACTGTCTGCTTACAGCTAAGATCCATCTAACTTTGGAGATAGTGTCCCTAATGCCATGGCCTCTTCTAAACCCAGATTGCACATCTGGCAGTTCTCTGTTGATGTGCTATGCTAGTCATTTCTGAATGTATACATACCTAATTCTTGGTCTCAGAAAATAACATTATATCAAAATATTAAAAACTAAATGATGTCAAACACCCCAGACACTAGTAACTTTGTTACATGCAGTGAATACATAGATTTGGTCTTCCTTGCCTGGACAATGAATTGGGCAGAGTGGAAAAAAACAAAAATTGGCCGTGGATGAACTCTGTTGTTATTTCAACACTCAGAAATAATCCTGGCATGGAAAATAATAATCCCAGGGTGTGTCTAGCATTTGTTAGAGTATGTGGTTAATAGGAAAGGTGAGAAATTAAAGTGAAAAGTAAGATTTGTTTTCTGAGAAGATATAAAAAAAACAGGGACAGATCATTTATCCCAAGACAGAGAGGTAAAGAGAAAAAGCTTAATGACATGGATTGACACAGTGACTGCAGCCACGTGTTCAAGTGTATCAGAAATGATGAGGATGGCATCTGACAGGAGGGTTCAAATCTCTTATTCATAGGGTTACTATGAGTAGTACTCAACAGCACCTAACAACAACAGCATCTTTGTTCTCTAGAGTAATAGGCTAATAAGTCCTATTAGTACAAAGACAATAACACTTCGTAATTTAGCACTAAAGACTAATATTTTTACAGCTTCATTTGTAATTCTATCAATTACATTTTAGTCTAGGGGTTATATACGTACTTTTACGATGTAGTGTTGCAAGCTTAAGACGTCTATACTTGTTCCTGGAAGCAGGACTTTCTGGTGTGGGCTCAGAAGCACACGTAGTTGGTGAGCTACCTGTTCCAGGTAATTTTTTAGGGAATGCCAGAGAGCAGGAGGTACGCTGTCTAGTTCGACACGCTACTTCTCTTTCTTTATGCAGCACCTGTTCATCCATCAGCAATGTTATGACTTGTTTAGACTTTTCCCGGATATAATAACCTGAAAAATACAGTTAATATACTTGGGGGGGAAAATCCTTAATTAAGGCTACAATTTTCATTCCAGGAGAAATGGAAAAAAAAAAGTGAGAAGAGTGAAACTGTGATAGCAAATAAAGAGGGGAAAACTAAGTTTCAAGAGAATTATCAATAAATATATTTCCTTTTTTAACAAGTCAGTAGCTAGTTATTACATTTTTTAATTAATATTTTTAGGAACGTTGATAAAGAACTTCGTTTTCCAACCGTTCATTGTTGCACATTTTCCTCCCTTCTCCCCTACCCCCAGATCTCTTTTTTCTTCAGGGAAAAAGGTTCTTTTCTTATACAGTTTCCCGCCCCGCCAGACCACTTTACTATGCAGCTCCTATTCTGGACTTTTGGAATGCCAATAATACCTATTCTTATATTCCTTTTATACAATTCTCTCCCTTGTCTGTTTCAATGTGTAAATTATGTCTCTCCTTTTCTTTGTTTCCCCCCAGCCCCCATGTCAGTCCTGTTTTATAATAGTGGCATTATGCCATATTTGTATTTTTGTGACTGAGATATTTCATTCAATATAATGTCCTGAAGGGTCACTCATTTTGTAAACAAATTATCAACATGGGCACTGCTCTTACTTTTTTTAATTTTAAATATGCTATTAAGTATTCCTTTTAAAAGTAATATAACACTCCTTGTAAAAGAATTGCATAGTTTATCAATTGATGCAGAAAAAAAACATTTGACAAAATTCAACACCCTTTCCTGATAAAACTGCTCAACAAAATAGGAATAGAAAGGAAACCCCTCAAGACAATTAAACATATATCTACAAATTCAACAGCTAGCATTACTCTCAGTGGAGAGACTTAAGGCATTCATTCCTCTTGAAAACAAAGAAGCGTTTTATCATCGCTCCTATTCAATATTGTATTGGAAGTCCTGGTTAAAGCAATAAAGCAAGAAAAAGAATTTAAAAATATCCAAAGTAACAAAGAGGAAGTAAAACAATTTCTCTTTGTAGATGATATGATCCTATATAAAGAAGATTCCAAAAACAGTAAAAAATTATTTGATCTAATTGCAAATTCAGCAAAGTCAAAGTAGAGGATACAGGCAAAAATCAACAGGATTCCTCTACAGTATAAAGAAAACTCTGAAAAGGAAATAAGGAAAACAATACCATTTACAATAAGCACCCAAAAAGTTAAACACTTAAGACTGAATCTAACCAGAAATACAAAATACCTACACAAAGAAAACTAGAAAACACTACTAGAAGACACCAAAACATACCTACACAAATACACGAATGTATCCATGAGCCATGCTCATGGATTAGAAGAAGAATTAAAATGTAAAAATGTCTATACAGTAAAAAAAAATCAACAACTACAGTGCAAAATCAACTTAGCTCTCATCACCATTCTTCAATGAGATGGAAAAAAGTAATCACCAACTCCAAAGACAAGAAACCCCACCAACAAGTAAAACACTACTGAAGAAGACAGAAGGATTGATAGGAAATCTATACCTAGACCAAGGAGCTGTAGTCCAAAAAAGAGTAAAGGAGCACTTCTTGGTGGAAAATTAAGAACGATTGGTTTAAAATTAAGAAAGGGTATGCATTATGCATAAAGTCTGACTCTGTGAAGAAGAAAGTGGCATAAGGATCAGAGGAAGACTCATCAACAATATGAGTTATGCCGACGGCACAACCTTGCTTGCTGAAAGTGAGGAGGACCTGCAGGGCTTGCTGTAGAAGGTCAAAGAGTATAGCCTTCAATATGAATCACATCTAAACATCAAGAAAACAAAAACCCTCACCACTGGACAAGAGTCAACATAATGGTAGATGGAGAAAAAGACTGAAATTGTCAACAACTTCCTTTTACTTAGATCCATAATCAGCACCCTTGGTACTAGCAATCAGGAGATCAGGAGACAGATTGCATTGGGAAATTCCACTGTTACAGACCTCTCTGAATTAGAGGAGCAATGATGTCAATTTAAAGACTAAAGTAAATCTGATTCCTTTCAATCATTTGCTGTGCATTTGAGAGCTGGACAATGAACAAGGCTGACAGAAGAAGAACTGATACCTTTGAGCTGTAGTGTTGAAGAAGAGCGCTGAATATCTCATGGGCTGCCAAAAAACACCACCAACAAAAACAGTCACGTCTTGGACTAGGTATAGCCAGAGTGCTCCTTAGAGGCAAAGATGATAAAGCTTCACCTCACATACTTTGGGCATGCTGCTAGGAGAAGCTATACCTTGGAAAAGGGCATCATGTTAGAAAAGTGGAAGGTCACTGAAAGAGAGGAAAACCCTCAATAAGATGGATTGACACAGTGACTCCAGCAAGAGGCTCAAGTGTGTCAGAGATGACAAGGATGGCACAAGATACGATAGGGTTCAGATCTATTGTTGTTGTTGTTGTTGTTGTTAGGTACTATCAATTCGAGTACGACTCATAGAGACCCTATGAACAAAAGATGTGAGCTCTGTTCTATCCTGTGCCATCTTCACACTTCACACACAAAAACCCATTGCAGCAGTCACTGTGCCAATCCATTTGAGGGCCTTCCTCTCCCTCTCTGACCCTCTACTTATCTGAGCATCATGTCCCTCTCCAAGAAACTGCGCCTCCTAGCAACATGCACAATGTGAGGGGACGCCTCATCATCTTTGCCTCCCAAGAGCACTCTGGCTGCACCCTCTCCAAGGCATTATTTTTTTGTTGTTGTTGTTGTTTTGGCATTCTTTGGGATGTTCAGTCCTTTCCTGAAATACTACAGCTCAATAGCATCAATTCTTCTTTTATCATCTTTATTCATTGTCCAAATCTCAGATGCATAGCAAGTGATCAGAAAGACCATGGCCTGAATCAGATGCTCCTTAGTCCTCAAGCTGACATCATTATTCCTCAGTAATTTAGAGAGGTCTCTAACTTCAGATTTTCAAAGTGCAATACAACTCCTGATTTCCTGACTGGTAGCAATGTTAATTGTGGATCCAGGTAACATGCAGTTGCTGACCATTTCAATCTTTTCTCCATCTATCATGATGCTGCCTATAGGTCTAGTGGTAAGAGAATCTTTGTTTTTCTGACAATGAAATGCAAACCATACTGAAGGCTGTATTTTTTGATCTTCTGCAACAAGTATTTTGTGTCCTCTTTACTTACAGCAAGCAAGTTCATGTCACTGCATAGTGCAGGTTATTGATGAGTCTCCCTCTGATCCTGGTGCCACATTTCTCTCCATAGAGTCCAGCTTCTTTTGTTTGTTTGTGTGCCATCTAATCTAATCCAATGGGCACAGGAGATTGCCCCTTCCTCTCCAGTGGAGCATTCTGGTGGATTTGAACTGCAAGAATCCACCTTCTTGAATAACTTGCTCAACACACAGACTGTATAGGTATGGAGAGAGAATACAACCCCGACATACCCCCTTCTTAATTTTAAATCATGTAGTGTTTCCTTACTGTGTTTGCACAACAGCCTCCTGGTCCGGGTAGAGGTTTTGCATGAGTACAATTAAGTGCTCTGGGATTACCATTCTTCTCAATGTTAGGAATAACTTTTTCTGATACTCACAATCAAATGCTTTTGGATAATCAATAAGGCACAAATAGATATTCTTCTGGTATTTTTTATTTTTTGTCAGGTTCTATCTGACATCAGCAATGAAATCCCTGGTGCTCCAGCCTCTCCTACATCCTGCTTGAACTTCTAGTAGTTATCTATCTATGTACTGTCTAATATCTTCAGAAGTATTTTGCTTGCATGTGATCTTAATTATATTGTTCTATAGATTCCAAATTCTGTTGTATCACCTTTCTTGGGGATGGAAACACATATGGACCTCTTCCTTTCCACTGGCCAGAAAGATATCCTCCAAATTTCCTGGCATAGACTGGTGAGTGCAACTAGGGCTACACCTCTTAAAGGAAACAAGTCAATTGTGTCCAATCGATTGCTGGGGCTTTGTTTTTTGCCAACGCCTTCAACGTACCTTTAACTTCCTCCTTCGCTAACACTGGCTCCTCTTCATATGTTGCTTCCTGAAAGTCTTCAGTGGCAGTTCTTTTGGTACAGTGACTCTGTATACTCCTGCATCTTCTTTTGATGCTTTCTGAGTCATTAAATATATTGCCCATAACACCTTTCAATATTGCAACTCGAGGTTTAAATTCCCCCCCCACCCCCGTTCTCTCAGCTTGAGACATGAACAATTTCTTCCCTTTTAATTCTCCAATTCCAGCTTTTGCACATCCCATTAAAATACTGTTTTATTTCTCAAGCTGCCTTTTGGAAATTTCTGTTCAGCTATTTTATTTCTGCATGTTTTCCCTTTATTTTGGCTTCTTGACACTCCAGTGCAATTTATAGAGTCTCTGCTGACATCCATTTTGGTTTTTTCTTTCTCCTCTTTGTAAATGACCTTTTGCTTTCTTCATTAATTATATCCGTAATATCATCCTATAACTCATCTGGTCTTATATCATTGGTGTTCAATGCTTCAAACCTATCTTAAGATGATCTTGAAATTCAGATGTAATAGATTTTAGATCATATTTTCGTTCTCATGGACTTATTTTCATTTTCTTCTGTCTCAATTTGAACTAGTATATGAGTAATTGATGGTCTGACCCACAGTCCACCCCTAACCTAGTTTTGACTGCTGATATTGAGCTTCTCCAATGATTCCCTGCACAAATTTGTACAGTATATAGAGAAATAAACCACTACATGTGTGCTCATGACAGAAGCAGAGAGAAACACATAGCTAGATGGCTAAATCCAACCTAAATCAAAACTCATTACCACAGAGTAAATTCTGACTCATATTAACCTTGTAAGGCATAACAGCCTATAAGGTTTCCAGGGAACTCTGGTGGCCTAGTGGCAAGGAGTTTCCAAGGCTGTAAACTATTATGGAAGCTGACTTCCTCACATCTCTCCTCGAGATGGATAGTCAGAGAAATGAAAACTGAATCCACATTTTCTATAT